GGAATTCAGTAACAAGTAGTTGAATTTACCTCAATTGTCTATAATTAAGACGAGTTGAGCCGAATAATAATAGGCTTATGTAACATCCCGAGCGCTGACGAAGGGGGTTACATGCATGAATGAATCAAATCGACACTCGAAAGAGAGGAATTTCAAAGACTCTGCAGGTATGACACTGCACAGTTTGGCATAGCTTATAAGAATTAATTGGTACTACCTATACTAACAAGATGCATCTTCTTTTCGGTAGCCCGGAACGGAAGAACTCCATAGTTAAGCGTGCTTGACTTGGAGCAATTCTGGGATGGGTGACCTTCTCGAAAGTTTTTCCAGGAAGTGTGCGAGTGAGGAAAAAGCACACTGAAAAGTCTCGTGTTAGTATGTGGGGATAGTCATTGATTCTTGAAGCGGCCGAGCATTAAAAGTGGTATCAGAGCAGGACCTCTCTTCCAATACGGTGTGGTTCAAGGACGAACCAGGCGGAAGCTGGTGGGCATGTAACATCCCGAGCGCTGACGAGGGCGGGGAGTAATCGCCGGTGCAAAGAGGCATGGACAAGGAGCGGCTCCTGACAGGCTTTCAGTGGGGGGTTACATGCATGAATGAATCAAATCGACACCCGAAAGAGAGGGATTCCAAAGACTGTGCAGGTATGAGACTGCACAGTTTGACATAGCTTATAAGAATTAATTGGTACTACCTATACTAACAAGATGCATCTTCTTTTCGGTAGCCCAGAACGGAAGAACTCCATAGTTAAGCGTGCTTGACTTGGAGCAATTCTGGGATGGGTGACCTCCTGGGAAGTTTTTCCAGGAAGTGTGCGAGTGAGAAAAAAAAATACTATATTGTTGAAACAATTTACTTACTAGAAATATCTGTTAGTTTTTTTTTTTTTTTTTTTATAAACTGTAATTAATCAATATGAAGGGATTTATGAGTCACTAAGTGATTAATTTGTGATTCCTATTTTCTTCTTCTTTTTATTTTTAAATTAATCTAAACAAATAATTATTTTGATATAATCACGTGCTCAATAAAAGAAGAAAAAAATAAAGTATCGTGTTGCATGATTATGTTGGAAACTTAATGCATCTGCGGTACTTGGATCTTTCTTACACTGCAATTGAGCATCTACCTGATTCTGTAAGCACTTTGTATAACTTGGAGACACTCTTGTTGTTAGGTTGTCGTCGACTCACCATGTTACCAGCAAACATGTCCAACCTTGTCAACTTGCGCCATCTTGATATTAGTGGAAGCAGGGTGACTGAGATGCCAGCAAAATTTGGTAGACTAAAATCTCTCCAAGTTTTGACTAGTTTTGTTGTTAGCAGTGACGGGGGATCAAAAGTTAGTGAGTTGGGGGAGCTTTCCGAACTTCATGGAACACTTTTGATTGTGAACCTGCAGAATGTAGTTGATGAAAGAGAAGCCTTGAATGCAAGGTTGAGGAGAAAGAAACATCTTCAAGAGCTAGAATTCAAGTGGACGACTACAACTCATGATGTACAGAGTGAAACTAATGTACTCGAAATGCTAGAGCCACATCAAAATGTGAAAAGGCTCAAAATTCAGAATTTTGGTGGTAATAAGTTGCCAAATTGGTTGGGGAGTTCTTCATTCTCTAGTATGGTGTTTCTATATCTTTCAGAGTGCGGAAGTTGCTTGTCATTGCCATCCCTTGGACAATTGCCCTCCCTCAGAGAACTCTATATAGCAAAGATGACAAGCCTACAGAAGGTGGGTCCTGAATTCTATGGGAATGCAGTTGAGCCATTCAGATCATTGAAGATCATGAAGTTTGAGGACATGCCCAACTGGAAAAAGTGGTCAACCATTGAACTTGAACAAAGTGGGGGGTTCCCTTCACTCCAAGAGCTTTACATACAGAGATGTCCTAAACAGACCAGAAAGTTACCTCATCAACTTCCTTCATTGGATAAATTAGTGATCACTGCATGTCAAGCTCTCACAGATTCAATGCCATGGGTTCCAAGATTGAGAGAATTAGAGCTAACTGGTTGCGATGCATTGGTATCATTATCTGAGCAAATGATGCAGGGAAACACATGTCTTCAAATCATGGCCATAAACAATTGCTCATCTCTAGTCACCATCCCTAGGGATGGCCTACCAAGTACACTAAGATCACTTGAAATCTATGAGTGCAGGAATTTACAACTAGTCCATCCTAAGAGTTTGATGCAGGAGTCTCACTACTATCATTCCCTTGAGAGATTACACTTAAAAAGTTGTTGTGATTCTCTCATCTCCTTTCCATTATCACTCTTCACCAAGCTTGAAGAACTTCATGTACAAGACTGTAGCAATCTCCAGTTGATTTCATCTGCTCCAAACAGTCTCCCATATCTTCGAAAGTTGAAACTGAAGGAATGCTCCAAACTGGCTTGGTTCCCTGAAGGAGGGTTGCCTGCTCCCAAACTTGAATCACTTTGTATCAGCAAATGTGGTGATCTCTCGCAAGAGACTGCATGGGGTCTTGAGGCAATGACATCACTGACTTCTCTTCATATCAGTGGACTTCCCAGTCTCACTTCACTAGAGCACACTGGAATTCAGTACATTGCCTCTCTCAAAATTCTGAAGATTAAAGCTTGTGATAACCTTGCATCCCTACCTTTACACAGATTAGTTACCTCCCTTTCTCATCTTACCATCAGAGCATGCCCATTGTTAACGTTGCTGTGTGGAAGGTACACAGGGGAATACTGGGATATGGTTTCTCGTATACCCTCTAGAGTTATTGAAGATTAGATGTCAAGTGCATATTCAAAATAAGTTCATATTGTATGAACTACAAAAAAGTTCACTGATTTCTTTATGCATATTATGTTTATAAAAATTTTCGTTCATTCGTTTCTTTTTACTTTTTTAATTCTCGTCATTTTACTACTTTAACAGTGTTCAGGTGGAATTCAGTAACAAGTAGTTGAATTTACCTCAATTGTCTATAATTAAGACGAGTTGAGCCGAATAATAATAGGCTTATGTAACATCCCAAGCGCTGACGAAGGGGGTTACATGCATGAATGAATCAAATCGACACTCGAAAGAGAGGAATTTCAAAGACTCTGCAGGTATGACACTGCACAGTTTGGCATAGCTTATAAGAATTAATTGGTACTACCTATACTAACAAGATGCATCTTCTTTTTGGTAGCCCGGAACGGAAGAACTCCATAGTTAAGCGTGCTTGACTTGGAGCAATTCTGGGATGGGTGACCTTCTCGAAAGTTTTTCCAGGAAGTGTGTGAGTGAGGAAAAAGCACACTGAAAAGTCTCGTGTTAGTATGTGGGGATAGTCATTGATTCTTGTAGCGGCCGAGCATTAAAAGTGGTATCAGAGTAGGACCTCTCTTCCAATACGGTGTGGATCAAGGACGAACCAGGCGGAAGCTGGTGGGCATGTAACATCCCGAGCGCTGACGAGGGCGGGGAGTAATCGCCGGTGCAAAGAGGCATGGACAAGGAGCGGCTCCTGATAGGCTTTCAGTGGGGGGTTACATGCATGAATGAATCAAATCGACACCCGAAAGAGAGGGATTCCAAAGACTGTGCAGGTATGAGACTGCACAGTTTGACATAGCTTATAAGAATTAATTGGTACTACCTATACTAACAAGATGCATCTTCTTTTCGGTAGCCCGGAACAGAAGAACTCCATAGTTAAGCGTGCTTGACTTGGAGCAATTTTGGGATGGGTGACCTCCTGGGAAGTTTTTCCAGGAAGTGTGCGAGTGAGAAAAAAGCACACTGAAAAGTCTCGTGTTAGTATGTGGGGATAGCTTGAAGCTATAGGGAAAATTATCTTAGATAATGATCAATCAAATACTATATTGTTGAAACAATTTACTTACTAGAAATATCTGTTAGTTTTTTTTTTTTTTTTTTATAAACTGTAATTAATCAATATGAAGGGATTTATGAGTCACTAAGTGATTAATTTGTGATTCCTATTTTCTTCTTTTTTTATTTTTAAATTAATCTAAACAAATAATTATTTTGATATAATCACGTGCTCAATAAAAGAAGAAAAAAATAAAGTATCGTGTAAAGAATCAATTCAATTCAAAAATTTAAGTTGTTGGGTGAGACTATTCCCTCATACGAGAGTCCATTGAACTTGAAAATTTCATAAGACTTAATTAATTATTAATTAAATGAGGGACGGTGAAGATCAAACCCGTGACACCGAGACTCTGATACTATATAAACAACTAATTCAATCCAAAATTTTAAACTTGTAGATAAGGCTACATTTCTAACAATATGAAATTCACCTCTATGAAAAAACATACCACCCTTGAGAAGCAATTCTATATGAATTTATCTACTCCTTCCTTAATTTTTTTGCCATGGTTACCAAAAAAATGCGTAAAGAAATTCTGCATCCATAATTTAATCCTTTAGAAAAAAGAAAAAGTTGACTCGTGATCCTCTAAAATTTAAAATAGACCCATGTTAATTTTTTTTAGGAACTAATGTGGGTCTTTTTTGAATTTTTGAGGGACCTCAATTTCAACTAACTGGATCTATTTTGAATTTCAAAAATACCACAAATCAAATTTTTTTTAAGGGATTAAAATGGATTCTGTGATTTTTGTTGAGAATCCAAAAGACACTTTATTTTAAATTATATTTCTTTTTTATTGGCAAAACTTATTTTTAATTTTTTTAAGCCATAGGCTTTGGTGAGTCAGTCAACCCTACCCTTAATCAGTGGAATTTGTAGGTTTGGAAAAAAAAAACCTTATTAAAGAGGGTTGGATGGAGGTTTTGGTGAGCTGTCCATGATATTGATAATTTGACATCTCTAAGTTGACTAAGGACTAGGAAGAAAGTCAACGTAAGAACCACACATGTTCTTGTGGCAATGAATCTATTATCTGTACTCTGTAGCTCTGAACAAAAGAAACAATAGAAGGAAGGGTTTCTTTTTTGTTGTTATCTGCTTTGCAATTTTCAAGTTTCTACGATGGGAAGAGCCTTACTCTCTGCTTTCCTTCATGATCTTTCCGACCACTTTCTCCTCCTTACTTCTCCAACCAAACCTTTCATCATGAAACCTCCTTCCTATCACCGCAACCTCATGGCCGCGTTGTTAATCCATGATGCTCTCGTGGATGACGTCGAACAGAAGCAGTTCTCATCACAACCAGTGATGGAGTGGCTTAATGAGCTACAATATGCTCTTTACCATTTGGAGGAGCTTCTCTTGATGCGGCAGTGGCAAATCACCACCACAAACACCAACACCAAAAAGTCCTTGCAATTCTTCGGAGTCTTCTCAAAATCAAACAGGCTAGATGAGGACATGAAGGCTCAAATCCGTGGCATCATTGATAGGTTAGAAGCTTTGGCAAAAATGAAGGATGTTCTTGGCCTAACTGAGCGTGTTACATGGAGGGAATCTCTTCAAGGCTTGTCTTCATGTTCTGTTGTCTTGGATAACTATTTCTATGGTAACTATCCTAAAGATTATTTCTATGGAAGACATGAAGAAGAGAAGTCTATACTTGAAAGCCTGTTATCGACTAGTGAACACATCAAAGTGATTAACATAGTTGCATGATTATGTTGGAAACTTAATGCATCTACGGTACTTGGATCTTTCTTACACTGCAATTGAGCATCTACCTGATTCTGTAAGCACTTTGTATAACTTGGAGACACTCTTGTTGTTAGGTTGTCGTCGACTCACCATGTTACCAGCAAACATGTCCAACCTTGTCAACTTGCGCCATCTTGAGATTAGTGGAAGCAGGGTGACTGAGATGCCAGCAAAATTTGGTAGACTAAAATCTCTCCAAGTTTTGACTAGTTTTGTTGTTAGCAGTGACGGGGGATCAAAAGTTAGTGAGTTGGGGGAGCTTTCTGAACTTCATGGAACACTTTTGATTGTGAACCTGCAGAATGTAGTTGATGAAAGAGAAGCCTTGAATGCAAGGTTGAGGAGAAAGAAACATCTTCAAGAGCTAGAATTCAAGTGGACGACTACAACTCATGATGTACAGAGTGAAACTAATGTACTCGAAATGCTAGAGCCACATCAAAATGTGAAAAGGCTCAAAATTCAGAATTTTGGTGGTAATAAGTTGCCAAATTGGTTGGGGAGTTCTTCATTCTCTAGTATGGTGTTTCTATATCTTTCAGAGTGCGGAAGTTGCTTGTCATTGCCATCCCTTGGACAATTGCCCTCCCTCAGAGAACTCTATATAGCAAAGATGACAAGCCTACAGAAGGTGGGTCCTGAATTCTATGGGAATGCAGTTGAGCCATTCAGATCATTGAAGATCATGAAGTTTGAGGACATGCCCAACTGGAAAAAGTGGTCAACCATTGAACTTGAACAAAGTGGGGGGTTCCCTTCACTCCAAGAGCTTTACATACAGAGATGTCCTAAACTGACCAGAAAGTTACCTCATCAACTTCCTTCATTGGATAAATTAGTGATCACTGCATGTCAAGCTCTCACAGATTCAATGCCATGGGTTCCAAGATTGAGAGAATTAGAGCTAACTGGTTGCGATGCATTGGTATCATTATCTGAGCAAATGATGCAGGGAAACACATGTCTTCAAATCATGGCCATAAACAATTGCTCATCTCTAGTCACCATCCCTAGGGATGGCCTACCAAGTACACTAAGATCACTTGAAATCTATGAGTGCAGGAATTTACAACTAGTCCATCCTAAGAGTTTGATGCAGGAGTCTCACTACTATCATTCCCTTGAGAGATTACACTTAAAAAGTTGCTGTGATTCTCTCATCTCCTTTCCATTATCACTCTTCACCAAGCTTGAAGAACTTCATGTACAAGACTGTAGCAATCTCCAGTTGATTTCATCTGCTCCAAACAGTCTCCCATATCTTCGAAAGTTGAAACTGAAGGAATGCTCCAAACTGGCTTGGTTCCCTGAAGGAGGGTTGCCTGCTCCCAAACTTGAATCACTTTGTATCAGCAAATGTGGTGATCTCTCGCAAGAGACTGCATGGGGTCTTGAGGCAATGACATCACTGACTTCTCTTCATATCAGTGGACTTCCCAGTCTCACTTCACTAGAGCACACTGGAATTCAGTACATTGCCTCTCTCAAAATTCTGAAGATTAAAGCTTGTGATAACCTTGCATCCCTACCTTTACACAGATTAGTTACCTCCCTTTCTCATCTTACCATCAGAGCATGCCCATTGTTAACGTTGCTGTGTGGAAGGTACACAGGGGAATACTGGGATATGGTTTCTCGTATACCCTCTAGAGTTATTGAAGATTAGATGTCAAGTGCATATTCAAAATAAGTTCATATTGTATGAACTTCAAAAAAGTTCACTGATTTCTTTATGCATATTATGTTTATAAAAATTTTCGTTCATTCGTTTCTTTTTACTTTTTTAATTCTCGTCATTTTACTACTTTAACAGTGTTCAGGTGGAATTCAGTAACAAGTAGTTGAATTTACCTCAATTGTCTATAATTAAGACGAGTTGAGCCGAATAATAATAGGCTTATGTAACATCCCGAGCGCTGACGAAGGGGGTTACATGCATGAATGAATCAAATCGACACTCGAAAGAGAGGAATTTCAAAGACTCTGCAGGTATGACACTGCACAGTTTGGCATAGCTTATAAGAATTAATTGGTACTACCTATACTAACAAGATGCATCTTCTTTTCGGTAGCCCGGAACGGAAGAACTCCATAGTTAAGCGTGCTTGACTTGGAGCAATTCTGGGATGGGTGACCTTCTCGGAAGTTTTTCCAGGAAGTGTGCGAGTGAGGAAAAAGCACACTGAAAAGTCTCGTGTTAGTATGTGGGGATAGTCATTGATTCTTGAAGCGGCCGAGCATTAAAAGTGGTATCAGAGCAGGACCTCTCTTCCAATACGGTGTGGTTCAAGGACGAACCAGGCGGAAGCTGGTGGGCATGTAACATCCCGAGCGCTGACGAGGGCGGGGAGTAATCGCCGGTGCAAAGAGGCATGGACAAGGAGCGGCTCCTGACAGGCTTTCAGTGGGGGGTTACATGCATGAATGAATCAAATCGACACCCGAAAGAGAGGGATTCCAAAGACTGTGCAGGTATGAGACTGCACAGTTTGACATAGCTTATAAGAATTAATTGGTACTACCTATACTAACAAGATGCATCTTCTTTTCGGTAGCCCGGAACGGAAGAACTCCATAGTTAAGCGTGCTTGACTTGGAGCAATTCTGGGATGGGTGACCTCCTGGGAAGTTTTTCCAGGAAGTGTGCGAGTGAGAAAAAAGCACACTGAAAAGTCTCGTGTTAGTATGTGGGGATAGCTTGAAGCTATAGGGAAAATTATCTTAGATAACGATCAATCAAATACTATATTGTTGAAACAATTTACTTACTAGAAATATCTGTTAGTTTTTGTTTTTTTTTTATAAACTGTAATTAATCAATATGAAGGGATTTATGAGTCACTAAGTGATTAATTTGTGATTCCTATTTTCTTCTTCTTTTTATTTTTAAATTAATCTAAACAAATAATTATTTTGATATAATCACGTGCTCAATAAAAGAAGAAAAAAATAAAGTATCGTGTAAAGAATCAATTCAATTCAAAAATTTAAGTTGTTGGGTGAGACTATTCCCTCATACGAGAGTCCATTGAACTTGAAAATTTCATAAGACTTAATTAATTATTAATTAAATGAGGGATGGTGAAGATCAAACCCGTGACACCGAGACTCTGATACTATATAAACAACTAATTCAATCCAAAATTTTAAACTTGTAGATAAGGCTACATTTCTAACAATATGAAATTCACCTCTATGAAAAAACATACCACCCTTGAGAAGCAATTCTATATGAATTTATCTACTCCTTCCTTAATTTTTTTGGCATGGTTACCAAAAAACTGCGTAAAGAAATTCTGCATCCATAATTTAATCCTTTAGAAAAAAGAAAAAGTTGACTCGTGATCCTCTAAAATTTAAAATAGACCCATGTTAATTTTTTTTAGGAACTAATGTGGGTCTTTTTTGAATTTTTGAGGGACTTCAATTTCAACTAACTGGATCTATTTTGAATTTCAAAAATACCACAAATCAAATTTTTTTTAAGGGATTAAAATGGATTCTGTGATTTTTGTTGAGAATCCAAAAGACACTTTATTTTAAATTATATTTCTTTTTTATTGGCAAAACTTATTTTAAATTTTTTTAAGCCATAGGCTTTGGTGAGTCAGTCAACCCTACCCTTAATCAGCGGAATTTGTAGGTTTGGAAAAAAAATAAACCTTATTAAAGAGGGTTGGATGGAGGTTTTGGTGAGCTGTCCATGATATTGATAATTTGACATCTCTAAGTTGACTAAGGACTAGGAAGAAAGTCAACGTAAGAACCACACATGTTCTTGTGGCAATGAATCTATTATCTGTACTCTGTAGCTCTGAACAAAAGAAACAATAGAAGGAAGCGTTTCTTTTTTGTTGTTATCTGCTTTGCAATTTTCAAGTTTCAACGATGGGAAGAGCCTTACTCTCTGCTTTCCTTCATGATCTTTCAGACCACTTTCTCCTCCTTACTTCTCCAACCAAACCTTTCATCATGAAACCTCCTTCCTATCACCGCAACCTCATGGCCGCGTTGTTAATCCATGATGCTCTCGTGGATGACGCCGAACAGAAGCAGTTCTCATCACAACCAGTGATGGAGTGGCTTAATGAGCTACAATATGCTCTTTACCATTTGGAGGAGCTTCTCTTGATGTGGCAGTGGCAAATCACCACCACAAACACCAACACCAAAAAGTCCTTGCAATTCTTCGGAGTCTTCTCAAAATCAAACAGGCCAGATGAGGACATGAAGGTTCAAATCTGTGGCATCATTGATAGGTTAGAAGCTTTGGCAAAAATGAAGGATGTTCTTGGCCTAACTGAGCGTGTTACATGGAGGGAATCTCTTCAAGGCTTGTCTTCATGTTCTGTTGTCTTGGATAACTATTTCTATGGTAACTATCCTAAAGATTATTTCTATGGAAGACATGAAGAAGAGAAGTCTATACTTGAAAGCCTGTTATCGACTAGTGAACACATCAGAGTGATTAACATAGTTGGCAAGGCTGGGGCTGGTAAGACTGCATTTGCTGATGTTATCTACTTCAACCACAAGGTGAGGGAGTGTTTTGAACTCAAAGCTTGGGTCACTGTTCCCTACAAAGCCACCATTAACTTCATGGCAAAGAAGATTCTTGAGGCTGTCACTGATGAGGAATTTGTTCCCAGTAATGATTTCATTGTGTTGAGCAAGAGATTGCATGAGGGCTTGGCAGGGAAGAAATTTCTGCTTGTGTTGGATGATATCAGAATTGAAGATGGATTAGACAAATGGAACATGCTACTTGCTTCCCTTGAAGTTGCAGCAAGAGGGAGTGCCATAATCTTAACATCAAATCCTGATGACAATCCACTGTTTATGCCACCCACTAATCATACTATGCATTTGGGTTTGCTGTCAACGGAGAATTTCTGGTCAATTTTTTTGGTGCATGCTTTTGGGCAGATAGATCTTCATGAGCATCCGGAACTGGTAGCAGTTGGCAAAGAAATAGTCAATAAAAAGCAGTAAGAAGTATCAAAAAAATCATTTCTCATACAGAGAAAACCCTGATCCATCTCTTTGATAACATAGGGCATTTTCCAAACGGGAAGCAAAATACCCGTCTCTTTCCATCAATTGAAACAAGACAGTAACAACCAACTTGAACCTTTAGCACCACACACTACTCATTGGTGTTATTTGGGATTTTGCCCTGTTTTGCAATGGAGATAAATCCTCACTTTGAATCTGGCTCCGCACTAAGATGGAAAATATAAGATAAATGGAGCAAACTAGCTGTGATGATTTTTACGTGCATGTTCTCAGAACAAAACTAAAAACTAATATCAAAGTAGATAGGAGACAACCACTAATATCAAAATATTAAATAGTATTATCACATGAATCATATTAGTTTAATACCATGCAATTCTCTTTTACTCAAATTAGTATTCCTTGATAGCTGTAAAAGAAATCAAAAAATACTAGATAGTCATTAGCATCTGTATAAAAAAATATTGAATGAACCTTCCACAAACAGCCATATCAAAAAATATTTGCTCCTTTTTTAAACTAGTGGCATAATTTTAAAAAAATTGATGAAAAAAGGAACCTGGCCATAACTACGTTTCCAAGGCTCGCCCTCAGGCCATTATTTGAAGGGCATTCACAAATAAGCAGCTCTTGAAAACGATCCTCAATCCAATGTGTTTATTTACCAATTAATAGTTTAGTACAATCAATTCATCTTATATTGAAAGTGTTTAGATGTAAAAACCTCCAAGATCCAGTCCAGCAGCAATGGCACATCTATCAAAGAAGATGAAGCACAACTTGAGAGAATATTATCTTCAATGAACCCATTAATCGGAGAGATGCAATACCACAATAAGTTGCACCTCCTGAGCCACTAAAACAAGTAATTTTGATAAATATAATCTAAGAAATAATAAACATTTTAAAAATGGATGAAGACCACCATTCAAAATGCATGCAAATAACTTAGGAAAACCAACAGGTCTGAACCAGAATTGTTATTCCATGGAGCATAAAATTTAAATTGAATGGAGCTTGAGCAGGTTGTTTTAACTACAAGTCTACGAGTATTACAATGGCCACCACAAGGATACAAAATAGCAGCCAACTGATTGGTTTACATGGATACTAGACTATGTCAATACTCAAGAGTCTAAAACAATGACAAGAGGAAATATCAATAATAAAAATGTTGAGGTCTGTTCAAAGAAGGCAATCCACAATCAATATTTTAATGAAATATACTCTCATAAGTCAAAACCAATCTGTCCACCCAACCAAAGGGGAAGAAAGGAAAATATGCCTAGAGGCTAAAACTTTGCCCTCTTTAAATTAATATTTAACTGTAGGATTTCATGAAACAATCTTAAATCTCATGAAAATATTTAATGAACCTTCCACAAACAGCCATGTAATTTGGTTGTTTCACTGATCCATCTACATTGATTTTCCACCATGAGGAGGCAGTTTCTAGCAGAAATTATTAATATTTGAACCCAACTGATTGCGCCTCTGACAAATCCTCATTGCTGCTCTAATCTCTTCAATGAAAATAGAAATTACAATAATCGGGTTGGTTGGACGAGTGTAGTCAGCATTGTGAAGTAGAATTGTTATGCCATAACCAAAAGAACCAACAAGTTGTGATGAAATTACAATATAACTACG